GTCTAGTAGCTAGTGCACCAATTCGGATATACATACCCACAGCATAGTTTGCAATATGAGTTATTTTATAAATCGAAATACACCAATATCGCTTCACTATGCGTAATGAGTTCCTGGCTCCGTGCTCTGGATTTCCTATTTGGGACCATCCCCGATGTAACCCACCTGGCGCAATTCCAACTCCTCCGCGGCATAACTATAGTGTGAAAATATAGTGACAGTGAGTACGGGGAAAGGTTTGAGGGGTAGTTGAAGCATTATTTAAAGAGCAACCAAGGCAGTTTTTCTTTTTTCTTTCATCCAAAACAGCGCTCAAGCAGCCTTGCTAAATATTTCAACAACGTTCTACAAAATACTTGAATATTGTTCCAACATGTTGTTCAACAGTCAATCCTTGCTTGTAGGGATATCCTTGATTTCTCAAGCCCTTTCTGCACCTCTTTTGGAGTCGAGAGCAACTGCTGGTGTGTCAATCCACCAGCCCATCTCTGTTAGCTAGGCAGCTCTAACCTCATCTCAAGCCAGCGCTGCCTTCCCTGATTTGCACCGTGCAGCACAGCTTTCTTCCGCTGCTTACACTGGTTGTATCGGAAAAGCCTTCGATGTCACTATTACCAAGAGGATTTATGACCTCCTGACCGACACCAATGTAGGCGTGGTATTTGCTTTTTACGCTAGCAAATGACTAATTCCAATAGGGATTCGTTGGATACTCCACGGAGAAGAAGACGATATCGGTTATCATGAGGGGCTCGACTACCAGTATGGACAAATTATTGATTTTAATACTAGGTCACCTTGCTAATCAATCCAGTCGCCGACATCTTGAATGACATTGACATTACCCTTGTCACTCCCTCGCTCTCGGGCGTGACCTTCCCTTCCGACGTGAAGATCATGAGAGGTATTAACAGACCTTGGTCAGCTGTACACGACACCGTGATTGCCGAAGTCAAATCACTCATCGCGAAGTACCCGGATTACTCTTTGGAGGCAGTCGGACATTCCTTGGGTGGTTCCCTCACATACATTGCCCACGTTGCACTGGCTCAGAACTTCCCGGGGAAGGCACTCACCAGCAACGCACTTGCTGCTTTTCCCATCGGCAACGAAGCGTGGGCCAACTTTGCTAGTTCGCAGCCCGGTACTTTGAACCGTGGAAATAACATTCTTGATGGTGTTCCAGTAAGACATGGTTGAACTTTAGATGATGCAATGAAGTGGCTAACCGTAGCAGAACATGTACGTGAGCGGGCTTATCAACTTCAAGCACTATGGATCCGTGAGTGATCCTATCGAGGGCTTTTCATACTAATATTCAATCGCTTACCGACCGTGACCATACATAGGAATACTACAGCGCTGGCTCGGGGGCCACCTGCGTAAAGTGCGCAGGGGAACGAGACCTGGCCTGCTCTGCTGGCAATGGCATGTACGCTGTCACTATCGGTCACTTCTCGAGCTTTGGCATTACGATGCTTACTGCTGGTTGTGGCCTGTTTTGAGTACCAGAAGTGGACACAACTGGGCAATACATGATATAGATCGCTTATTTTGGGGACAAAGCGATTTTGGATGATTACTTCCTCGCTGGCGAGGGATGACAGAAATATGTCAACTAACCTAACATGACCAGTCTCAATATATATATATCATTTGACGTCAATCACACTCTATTATGGCTTGTTAAAACAGAGGTAAGTCATAACGGCGCTCTTAACAAAGATACCATGTATGTTTTCATTGGTTCAGATCTAGCGCATGACGTGAGATTTCAACACCAATATGCACAGCCCTGGAGGGTTCTCAAAGAACCAGCCACACAGAATCTCACTTCAGCCTAAGCCTCAATAACAGGTGACTTCGTCCCTAGTCACATTTGATATCACCTGACCCCCGCATTAAAACCCCCTCTTCCCATTTTCCTTCCTTGTTTTTTCTCTTTCCTCCCACGCCTGCTGGAGTCGATAACTTTTCGCTAAGAGAGTCATTCCAGATTCTCGAATGCAAAGCCATCCCAGAACTGTGTATTCCTCGTCTTTTAATTAAGACACGGGGGGACCGTTTCTGAGGGGAGCTTCCAAGACTCACATGCTTCGTGTGCATGACTAGCAGCGTCAATCTGTATTTCTTTCGACCAACTCGTATCACTCCTTCTGATAATTACAAGATTATTTCGTCATTCCTGACCGTCTTCTATGGGCATATATCGGCAATAGGATTACTTTGCGCCGTCATGTTCAAGCGCTCTTTCGTATCTAAGGACCGGGCGGGTAAAACCGTCAAGGTCGCCAAGAAGAAGTACGACGAGCTGGTTAAGGAGAAGATGAAACAGAAAGTGGAAAGTCCCTCAACGGGAAGGTGTGTTTCCTTTTTATATATAAATGCGGACCTACGCTCTCCATAAATATCGACATTTATTTCATGTGCTGATAAATGTATCCCTATAGCCCCCTTACCAGCCCTATCATTACTATGATTGTTGGCCGGGACCAGCGTCTCTTCGCCGCCCATGAAGATGTCCTATCCGTGTCGCCGTTCTTTAGTACTGCTTTGAAGGAGCAGTTTCTCGAAGACGGTGCCAAGCAACTGAGTTTGCCTGACGAGTGAGACAATCCTGCCTATTCGATTGAGCAAAAACTTACACTTGAGATAGAGAACCTGAGATTCTGTCGTGTGTTCTCGAGTTTTTGTACAAGGGCGACTACTTCCCGCGTTTGTTGCGTGGAAAGCAAAGACACTCTTGGTCACTCGAGAACGCCCAGGATATCAATCAGACTGGTGGCCGTGGATCGAGCGAGCCGACAATGTTCCACTCCGGAGTGGGAGATCTCGTTCTCCGAGACACAGCAGTGTACTGTGCTGCCGAGAAGTACGGCTTGGAAGAACTCAAGCGCCTTGCCCTCCGAAAGCAAGGTCTTCAGAGTGGTATTCCAGCCGACGTGATCTTGCGATCCGCTCGATATGCATATGACAACACACCCGAGTCTGATTCCCGGCTGCGCGCTCATTACCTGGCTCTCATCATCCGCAGTCGCAAGACTTTTAAGAGCAGTGGAACCTTGCAGATGGAGATGGAGGAAGGAGGCAAGTTATTCTTCGACCTGTTTGTGGCGATGTGCAACCACATGGATGACCTGTCAGAGCTGCGGTACGATTCAATTTCTCCTTCTTCTCCTTCTCCTTCTCCTTCTCCCTGACCATATCCCTCCGTTACTGCTGACTGCTTTTTCTATCCCGAGCCCTGAGTGCTTACATTCGTGTCTACCAGCACCAAGCGATCGCCGAGGTTTTTCTAGACGGTTGTAACATTTCCTATGTACTGGATCGAGCGACTTAGATTTTGAAATTGAACAAGAGAGGCATGCATCTTTTGCACCAGAATGACAGCGACCTTGCACTAGCCTGCATTTTTGCTTTGACAGCAACTTGAGCTTCGCTTCTCTCGAGGTTGGCCGCCCTTTTGGTTTGAAGAACCGATCTTATTCGCTTTTAATCGGATCCACGGCGTATATTGACTTGCGTTCGACCACTCTACACTCCTTGAGATTGAGTTTTTTCGACACATTCTTTGATGATTTGCACTTATTCTACTGCTCTTGTTTGCGACAATGATTATGCCTTTGTCCCTAATCAGGCGATGCGTTCGTTTATCGCCTATTTTACTCTTGGACAAGGCGCCTACTTGGTGATGAGAAACAGAAATGAAGAAATTTGGCCACCTCAAACAAACAAGTTGTAGAAACATTTGCCCTATGCATGCTGATGTTGTATCCCATCCCCAACCATTTTTGGTCTTCAGATTATTGCAAGCGTTTGCCCATTGATGCACTGAATCGTGGATTGATTTTAGGTTTTGAAGCAGAAATTCACTACGCCCTCTTCATTTCAAGGAAGCGAATTGGTGTTGTGAATAAATGTCTGCTAATTTCGATAGTTTTATTTTCCACCGGAGTCGCTTTCAGACATTTCGCACAACCATTCTCGGACCTTTATACAAAATCTCGACCCCAAACTCCTTCGGAGTCCTCTGGGCACATTTCGTCAAGCGTTGTTATGACCGATAGTGTTCATCGAAGGTTATTTAATGTTGCGGGAACAGACAAGTTTATTCCTATGCAATAAAAGCCTGTCTGTAGCACATCAGAACTGCAGGCTAGGTCATTATTCTCTCGTATATCAATTGAAAGCTCATAGGCAGCTTTTAAGTCCCTGATTACAGTCATTACTTGCCAATAAGATTGGCTTCGAGTTTCTTAGGTGAGTCTCGGAACCCTAAAACAACCTAGGCAATATCCAGGATTTGGGGTCTCTTCTTCACAACGACATGATTTCTTAACTCTGATATACAACCTCAGTAAAGAAAACCTCGGGGTTATCGCCAAGATGACATTTATAAAGTATTGATTCAATTGCAGTCAAGAAAACGTTTATTTTCTACGACAAGAAGCTCTCACCCGTCGCTTACACCGACGCATTATTAAACCGCGGGCTTTGCGTTGTTCTCAACGTTGATGGGCATCTCAATATCACTTCTTCTCTTTCATAGTCTATATAGCCTCTACCTGTGCTAGCAAAGACAATACCATGTGAGTTATCTAGCCCTCATTGCAAGCTGATTCCGGCGACGCGAACTACATCTGCGAGATTTCTGACCATTCAGTCTACGCTCAGAAGCCTGTTTCCTCTTCTTTTAAAGGTCATTAATGATATCTAGTACCAGCTGCAATTCTTTCAACAATTTCACAACAGGAGTCTAGCTTCCCATCATTATACTCTTGGTTCTATCCCCGGCAACTCAATATCGTCTTTCGGATTGATCGCTTACAAGATCAATCACAGCTTCACTTCCTTTTGTACTTCAAAGATTTTGACTTGCATAAAACAATCTTCCACTGATACTAACGACCACTGCCAGCTCCCGGTGACAAAGATCAACAATCATCTTCTCAGAAGAGCAACAAATTCTTAAATCATCCATGCACAACCTTACAACCAAGATGGGACCCAGAACTTATTTGACCACTGACTTGAGGCACCTAGGCAAGCCACGCCCGCTGGAGGCTGGTGAGACCTATGTTGTCCGGTTCAAAAACTCCCTCCGTCAGTACAAAGCTGATGTTTGGATTGGCGTCGTGCTGCCGGAGAAATTCGGACCAAACAGACATGTCAATCGCCGCCCTGTTGGTGCCCAGCCAGTTGAGGGTGTCTGGATGACGCACCTTAAAGACCGGGTTTACTCAATCTATCTTCCGGGACGGAATATGTAGTAAGTTTGCTCTCCTTTTTAATACCCAAAAAAGACACCTAACGTTGTGTGTTTATTGATGTATATGTGTGTCCGTTGGTTTTTCTGCATGTTTGTTTATCTATATGTCACCATTTCTGATTGCACATATGCTTGTTTGTCTATACAGATTGGAAGCTAACATGCATAAAGCAGATGGGTCGGGCTGCAGGACCTCTTTGTTCTAAATGAGAAAACCGTCAATGTCCTCAGGCGTGCGCAGAGAGAACCAGATGCTAAGATCTGGGATGATCTGGTGGAAATCATTCGAACTGAGCCCGGACTAGAATTCTGGAAGAACATGGCTCTCCAGGAGCAAGGTGCTAAGGGCAAACGAGGCAAGGAACTGCGCCTCATCTTACCGAGTGGCCACAAAGGCCTTGTCTCCTGTGGAGAAAGCGATGAGGAATCTGAGTCCGAAGAGGAACATAAAGAAGCTATATTAGATCACGCCGAGCCTGTTACTGATGTTGCACCCAACGCATCTAATGGGCAATCAACCATGAGATCATTTTCTGACTCGCGCGCTGCACAGGGCATTCAGTTCAGGCAGGCATTGGGGGTTTTCCCAGATCCTACCCCCGCTACAATTGCATCTGATTCCATCCCCTTTGCAGACAGAGAGAACTCTACCTTAGGGATGACGAAGAAATTCCAGCCTTTCATCCCTCTGATACCTCATCCCCCTTCTTCTCGCCCAACATCATCACCATTCATTACGCCGGCGACCACCATGACTCTGAACGTGATGCCCAAGGTTGAAAATGATACTAGGTTTGCCAAATTCTAATGTCCATTCTCCACGCACATTCACTGACCAATATGTTTTAAATATACAGTGATACTGCTAGTGCTGTTGCCGATGTGGCATCCGAGAAACCCGCTCCAGAGGTCTCGATCTTCGACCTGACCCTCAATCAGGCTCTGAAGCACGTCTTCCTGAACCAGCATGCAGCCGCCAAGATCATCGATGTTTTCATAGGTGCCGTGGCTCTTGAGAGACAGCCCGAACAGCTGCAGATTTGCGAGTACCTGGCCAATGGAGAATTCACTCCTCGCCTGATTACACTCAAGAACTCTGGCTTCTCCCACCCCACTCCATTCCCAGCCTTTGATTCCAACGGCGCCACTATCTACCGCCTGGTTGGTGACCAAATGGGCATTGGTCAGAACTTCAAGTTGAACGGTGTGGGCAACAGCTTCGATCTGGAAAACGCCATCATCGTCCTTGGAAGAGTGTACCTCCAAGCCCGTCGTTTTGGCCTGATGGATTTGGTTTACCGAATTGCATTCAAGCTCCAAGTCGCTTGGAACTGTTACCCGGAGCTCTACCAATGCAAGCCCCTGCTTGAGGTCGCTTCTCTTGCTTTCACCGGTAACACCGAGTTCGAGGAGCCCAATTGCGATTACCTCCAGTCGTGGTTGATTCATTTCATTGCCGAGGCCTCCGATTTGCTCACCTACAATGCTAGCGAGCAGTTCTGGTCGTTGTTGCGTGCCCATCCAAAGCTCCAGGACAAGGTTCTCCACCTGCGCACGCTGGCTCACGTCAATAACCCGGAGTTGTATGGAAATACCCGTGCGCTCCTCGACAGTCGCGGTCTTGGAAACCTGTGATGTGCATTCTGATCGAGCGGGGATAACACAGTGAACTTGTGTCCCCCTTGTCTCCCAGGTGCATATCAAGCAGATTGGATTTCTCAACTCTGCTTGCTTGGTTCATATTTCGCTTTCTACTGGTTTCGATCATGGATCATTTGTATTCTTGATCATTTTGCTTTTTTGCGTGCTTTTTCCTTGCATTTGCTGATTATGGGGCTCCGGTCATTTCGATCTTACACAACAGAAGGAGTCACATCTCAATGGTTTTATCTTCTTTTGTTTCCGTTGCTGTGAGGTGGAAATAGTGAGGCCGTGCAAGCCCATAGTTAGCTTTTATGCTTTTATCAGGGAATTATTCTTATTCAACAGATTTCGTCTTTAATACTCGCAGTGATAGATAGATAGGCCTTCAAGCGTACTATGTATTTCAAAGGCCACACGCAGCTTGAATCTTGCAAGCCATAGCGACAAGAGTAGATCCTAGTATCCGCCCAGCAACCTTGATGTACAAACCACCTTGCTATTGAATACCTACTGCTGGGACTAATTTTTTTAAAAAAATTGAATTCGTTATGTCAACTCGTAGGCTAATCAATGGTGAGAACGATCCCAAAGTGCATACAAATATGGCGGTGCACCTGTGCAAACCAGCCATCGCTAAAGGGAAACCGAACCTCACGCCTAGAGGAAGAAAAAGAAAGAACAAACAATGAAAAGAACTGAAAGAAAAGCAGAAAATCAAGATTCGTTAAAAAACTACCCGAGAGAAAAGAAATACCAGTTACAACATAAAGAGCGGAAGACAGGAGGAGGTGGTATTTCTTTTCATAATTGGCATGACTGCCAATTCATCCACACGAAGTGGGAAGCTCGACACGAAGGGAAAGACACCTCAGTAGTCATCGTTAGTCTTCTCAGCCTTGATTGGCTTCAGAGGAGACCCAGACTCAAGGGGCATCTCAACATCCTCAGCCTTGATTGGCTTGAGGGGAGACTCGAGGGGCTTCTCAATGGCGCCCTCAGCGGGCTTCTCGGTAGCGTCGATGACAATGGGCTCACCGGAAATTTCGGGGGAAGCAATCGTAATCTCGGGAGCAGCCTCGGTCTTCACGATGGTGCGCTCAACACTGACAGATGTCTCAGGGGAGGCCTCGGAAGACTCCTCAACAGCCTGGTCAGCGGGCTTAGCGGCGACCTTGACGGCAGCTGGCTTGCGACCTCTCTTGGGCTTCTCGGTGGTTTCAGCAACGTTGTCGGTGGACGCCTGCTTAGCCTTGTCGGCTGCAGGCTTGCGGCCGCGAGTTGCCTTGGGCTTGTTCTCGGGGGCGCTGTTGTTGTCCTTGGTCTTGCTGGTGGCACTGCGAGTGCGGGGCTTCTCGGTCAACTCCTCGGCTTGGCTATCCTTGGAAGCATCGGATTCGCTGGTCTTGGCTTCCTTGGTAGCCTTAGTAGCCTTCGAGCCGTTGGTCTTTGCGCTAACAGCCTTGGCACGGGTGACAGACTTCTTGGTCTTGCCGTTGGTAGGGCTAGTCTCGTTGTCGGTAGAGGAGACTTCTTTGTTGGGAGAAACATCGTTCTTGGGATCCTTCTTGGCGCGAGTTGCACGCTTCTTAGGCTCGGCGGCAATGGCGGTCTCGCTGTCGGCAGATGAGATATCCTTGTCGACGGGGGAAACATCTTTGTCGAGATCTTTCTTGGCACTGGAACGAGTGGAACGAGTGGTACGAGTCACAGTCACCTCCTTGGTTGGCTGATCCTCTTCGGCAGGCTCAACTTCGTCGGACTTCTCGGTGACGGTAGTCTCAGAGGGAGAGACTTTCTTGCTACGAGTAGCACGCTTGGTGGACACCTCCTTAGGCTCAATATCGGGAGAGGCACTGATCTTCTTGCCACGAGTATCATGATCATGCTTCTTGGGTTCAGCGGACTCGGTGGTGAGCTTAGTGTCAGCATCGGCACCTTCGTCAGAAACTCTCTTGGCGGGACGGCCACGCTTCTTGGGCTCGGCCTTGACCTCGTTGTCAGCATCAGGACTAGCCTTCTTTGCAGGACGGCCACGCTTCTTGGGCTCGACCTTGACATCGGTCTCAGCAGGAGCAACTTGCTCCTCGGCAGCCTTCTTGGCGGGACGACCACGCTTCTTGGGCTCCTTGGCCTCAGCCTCAATGACAGTGGCCTCAGAGATAGCATCATCCTCGTCAGCTTTCGTAGCACGAGTTTGCTTCTTCTTGGCGGGCTCCTCGGCAGCATCCTCAGAATCAGTCAGGCTATGCTTCTTGGCAGGAGAGGACTGCTCATCATCGTCCTTGGGCTGTCAATTAAGTTAGCATGTCATATATCATGAGGATAGAACATGGAATTCACCTCATCGGCCTTGCCCTTGCCAGCCTTGACACGCATGCGAGATTGTCCAGGGCGGTTGCATTCAACATCCTATGAAGTATTAGTCAGTTGATCTACAGTCTTTGAGCATCAAGACAGGTGAACTTACGCCCTTCCACTCGTCGTCTTCGACGTGGCCCACTTCGATGGCCTTGCGAATCTTGGCCTGGAGTTCCTTGCTCATCTCATCAAAGCCATCAATGCGAGAGAAATCAGGATCCTCGCTGTTCTCAGTGAGCGCCTTCTTGACGTTCATGATTTGCTTGGGGGTGAAGCAGCCCCTGCATGGATGTCAGTACTCAGGGATAGACCTTATGTTTTAACAAGGTTGGACTCACCAGTGGCGCCAGGACCAGCTCTGGAAGGTCGAGCCGTCAACCCAGCTGCCGACTCGCAATTCACCCTTGGCGATCTTTGTCTTCTCCTTGGCACATTCAGAGCCTTTGCAGCCAGCACGGCCTTGAGCAGCGACCTCTGATCATGAAGTTAGCTGTGATGTCCTGAAGTCTGTCATGGTGCCTTGGATTTGGGAGAGGTGGGTGCTTTTGCCAGAAATGCCATAGGTTAGGGCACAACATGACAATATCAGTTGTGAAACCAGGCATTTTCACTTGATACAACAGATATACATCCATTGACCATGAGCACAGCAGTAGGAAGGCATAGACATATGAGATGAAGCTACTTACCGAAACGGTAGGGCATTTTGACTAGTGGTAGTCAAAAGTAGGAAAAAAAAGAAGATGTGTGAGAGAAGTTAACGATGGTTGTGAAGTGAAGTAGGTACATATAGTTTTCTACTAGCAGGTCGCTGGCGAACAAAGGAAAGTGAACAAAGAAAGCGAGAATCGATTGCACAATAAACGCAGTCCGAAAACAGGCAAGTTCGAAATTGAAGTTATTGTCAGAGTCAAATGAATAGAATGTTACACATGCATGAGCGTCAATTGACTTTGAACCGAGTATTGACTCACGTTCTTTCATTGTTCTCAGTCGACCGTGAGTACTCGTGAGATATGAAGTGGCTGGGACAAAGAACGTGTCATACCCCTTTCGGACAGCTGTGTTTTCTGGCCAATCAGAGTTCTTCTCAGCGCATAATCACATTGTACTTTTTGTTAGGATTTTTTCTGAATTATTTCGAGAATAATTAATACATTCGACTAGTCTGTATAGATCCGACCTACTAGACCTAAAAGGGGCTGGTATTAAGTGCTGGTAAGAAGATGGTTGAAATCTATTGTTCAAGTGGTAGTCCAAGTATTGTCGAACTCCAATAGATAGCTCAAAATAGACAATAGTTATCCGCGGCAAAGTTGTAGTCATAGAAATGAGGGTATCATAGCATCTTATAGCATAATGAATGCAAAATTTAATGATGTGACGAGAAGCGTTCGCCCACGTTCAGAATATGTTGGTGCGAGTCGATCGTACCTGTCATGATATTTTTTTAGTCAATTTTGTAGACTTTCCCATTCTATAGGCATAGGTTGTATAAACATCCGTCATGGGAATCTGACAGAACCTAATGCTAAGAGAATAAGAGTTTCACATTAGCATCATTGTCTACAAGCTGTCCTGAAACTTCCACCATGCGTCCAGGACATCGTTGTAGCCCATTTTTTCCAGACGCTGTGCGACCTGGCGGCGCCAATCTTTTTTAGAATATTCATTCCCATAATTAAAATCCATTCCTGCGGAGATTCGGAATTTTGTTCTGACCCATTCGATAGGGACATAGCCAGCAAGCTCCCAGTCGATGATACCTAGCGAGCCTGTCGAGATATCGACAAGAATGTTTGTAGGACCAAGATCGCAGTGATAGAAGACAAGTCTAGAGACATCCATAGATATCTCGGTACAATTCTTTAGGAGCTGTTGTGGAGCAAGGGCATCAGCCATTTTGCTGTTACCTTTGATGAGATAACGTTCCAACAGCTGGCGTCCATCTACACCGCTAATGGTATCGCCCTTCCATGCTGCTAAGCGATTGCAAACATCCGCGACCTTGCCGATGTAATGCTGACGAAGATCGTCGTCCATATTGGGCCAAGCCTCATGAAGGAGCTGGCCTGGCACCCTCGAGACGACGAGGAAGTATCGCGAGTCAGTCTCGAAATGATGGAGGACGTTCGGGAATCCAAAATTATGCGGTTCTTGATCTTTGAGAAATTGTAGAGTCACATGCTCTCTGGTTACATCGGGATAGTCCATGTGATGCGCTTTGATGAAGGCTTCGCCTGCCCTCCAGACAGCCGCTTGATTGTCAACTGCGTGGACTCTCGAAATATAAGATGAGTTCTCTAGGAGGGGCTTAGAATTCGGAAGAGGCTTGGGTGCGGTGGAGAGAGCGAAATGCCCTCCATTGCCGTCGCTCCAGCATGTTTGGTTGGCTGGAATATTGTCCGGGAGGGGCGACGAATAATGGGTAAGAAGAAGGGTATTTGAGATTAACCAAGAGCTCTTGTCAACTTCCTGTATTGAGTCATTGAGGTGCGGCTGAGGCAGGTTAATCGATGACATGTCGATTGATGTTGAGGTTCGAATAAACACAAATGTTGCCGTGGCCGTTTTACCTATGGCTCCCCGCTCACCGTGTCAATGTATACTACAGTATCTAGAAGACAGCCGATTATCAACAAGCTAAACAGCATAGAAGTAAGTATCCCGAGCTAAAGAATAGTTGGTTATACAAAAGAAAATCTTCGGAAAGGGTATGCCGCTAACCGAAGGCGGTTAGAGTATGTCGACGTTAAAGGTTCAAGGTTCTACATCTTAAGCTTGTTACTACTTACTACTCGCCTTTCTCGCTGCTTTGAATAAACCAAAATCCACACAGCACACAGTGGAAATCTCCCAGAAACCAAAGGGCAGGCTCTTCCACTACCAATTCAAAGCCAAAGACGAGAACCCCTCTCACTCGCGCAAACCCCACGATTCCACGCGGTCGCATCACCTCTCCTCAACCCAACATCCGCACAATGTCCGAGCCAGGCCCAGAGTCGATTCCCACAAGCGCGGATCCCCGCAGCAAGCGGCCAACAAAACGGCGCGCCGTGACACCGCATTCCGAGGTCGCCAACCAGATCGAGACACTCTTCAAAGACCCGAGCAAAGACCTGCAACTACCGGATGTCCTGAAGCCGCGCACCGTCGCGTCCCTGTCGGCGCCGCCAGAGATCGTGACCAATGTGCAGGGATCGTCGGCCGGTGCGGGCTCGGGCGAATTCCACGTGTACAAGGCCAGTCGGCGGCGGGAGTATGAACGACTGCGGATGATGCAGTCCGAGGTGGATAATGAGAAGAATAATGAGACTTGGGAGAAAGAGCGGGAGGAGAAGAAGCGCAAAGATGACGAGAAGACGGAGAAGAATCGGAAAAGGAGGGAGAAGAAGAAGAATGCGCGTGGGAAGAAGGGCGGTGGTGATCATAAGGATATTGCTCCTGTGGAGAGCTCGGCTGCCCCGGGCTCGATGGTCACTATGGAAGACCAAAATGGGGGCGATGTGGATGGTCAGGTGGCCCAGCAGGAAGTTCCTGGTGTCATTTTCCACGATGAGGACTAGCGAGGCAGGTTGAAATGCTGGCTGTGTACGATACGAAGATACCCATCTGGATTTGGTTTTTTTTGAATCTAGGATATTCATACAGAAGGAAGACAGCCATGAGGCAAATCGTGTAACATTATGTACGGACCTCGAGTCCAAGTATCATTTTTCTTTTTCGTCTATCAATCATTCGTCGCCGCCACCACCGCCGCCGCTGACCTGCTGGGCGGACTTTGCGCTGCAGATGTCGTCGACACGGAGAAGGAGACATGCGGACTAGAAAGAGAAATATGTTAGTGAAATGTAGTGTGCGTAGGAAACAGTAAAAGCTTACCTCGACCGCAGTCTTGATGCTCTGAAGCTTGACGGCTTCGGGCTCCCAAACACCGTACTCCCGCATATCAACCAACTCGCCAGACTCGCCGTTTAGACCCCAGGTATTGTGGCCCTCGACATGCTTGGCACGGAGACTGGTAAGCACACGGATAGGGCTAGCACCAGCGTTCTGGGCCAATGTCCGGGGAATGACCTCCATAGCGTCGGCAATGGCCTTGTATGGCCACTGCTGGACACCCTCAACGGAGCGGGCAAGCTGGCTGAGCTTTACGGAGACAGCCATCTCAGTAGCACCACCTCCGGGAGACAGACGAGGGTGGAAGATAACGTTGCGAGCAACGGACATGGCATCCTGCAAGTTGCGCTCAATCTCGTTCAGAATATCCTTGGAGGGGCCGCGCAGCAGGATTGTGCAGGCCTTCGGGGTCTTGCACTTGCGAATGAATGTGAAGTACTCATCGCCAATCTTTTCAATCTCGAACAGTCCGCACCCGGTACCAATATCAGACTCCTGAATGTCATCGACGCGGTTGACGATGGTAGCACCGGTTGCACGGGCAATACGGTTGTTGTCGGTCTTTCGCACACGGCGGAGGGCTGTGATGTTGGCCTTCACCAGGAAGTGCTGTGCAAGATCTAGTAAAGCTCGGTAGTTAGAACATGCAATCAATCATTCTTAACCAGGTCGCTTGCTTACCGGAAACACCCTTCTCGGTAATAACAACGTCAGGCTTGAAGGCCAGAACAGCCTCGCACATGTGCTTGACCTGCTCCTCCTCAATCTGGAGAATACGGTTCCAGTCATCCTCCTTGGAAATCTCAATGTTGGTTTGAGACTCGCCCTTCTTGTACTCCAGGGGGCAATCCAGGAGAAGAATACGGGGGTTCTCGATTCTGCGACGCATCTTGGGATGCGTGATATCTTTGTTGACCATCACACCATCAATCACCTCAGAGTCCTCAATTTGACCACCGGGGACCTTCTCAATACGGGCATAGCGTTTGATATCGACTTCCTGCTTTCCACTACCGACATCGAAGGAAACGGTTCGCACAGCCTTCAATGCAAGACCGCACATGAGCTCTGACCAACGGGACACGAACTTGGTTCCGATGGAGGACTGGATAAGACTGTACATGGCCTTATCATCATGAATGTCGACGGGTGTCGAGACATCCTCCACGATCTGAAGGGCATCGGCGAGCGCGCGCTTGAAAGCCTGGATAATGACGACGGGGTGGATGTTGCGTTCGAGCTGGGGGACGGCCTGGGCGAGCATTTCACCGGCTACGGAATATCAGCATTGACCATCGAGTCCTCCGAAATCAATCTTGCCATACCTAGGATGATGACTGTCGTGGTACCATCTCCGACCTCCTCGTCCTGGGTACGGCTGAGCTCGATCATGCTCTTGGCCGCGGGGTGCGACACTTCGATCTCTCGCAGAATAGCGTGGCCATCGTTGGTCAACACAATACCACCCATAGGGTCCAGCAGCATCTTCAACATCGCCTTGGGTCCGAGACATGACCGAATGATATCCGCAACACTGGTGTTTATTGAATTAGCATCGAGCGGGGGAGAAAAGCTGAGGATCGAGGGGTAGCGTACGTCTTGGCCGCAGTAATGTTAGACATCTGTGCTCTCCGACCAACCTGGCGCTCGCCAGAATTGGTGTCTGGATGATTTGTTAGCACTTAAAGGGGAGCAACTTGATGGGGGGTAACCTACTCATCACCACCACCGGAGCCTGCATATTGGCGGTGATTTATTGTAGTTGAGTGGGAAATGGATATAAAATGGTCTTGATCACTTGTGAATATCAAAAAAAATATTGCACGAAGATGATGATCCAAGAGTTCGGACTTCAACGCTGTTCGCCCGCGTTCTATCAAATTTCCAGGCGAAGTGGGAGCTCCCTCGGGCTAGTCCATATACGGCTAGCGTGGGGCCCTGACAAACTAGGCAAACATCTCCAACTTAACTAGTTATCTAGAAGTCTACAAAGCTGTAGTTCAATATATAGTCGCAATACTTTTCTCATTGGGTATTGCTATAAATGTTCAAATAGCACTGCAGAAATAAAAGTAGTCTGGGAAAACCGCCATATCCGATCTCAGCATGCCAAGCGATTACCATACCAACCTGTGTCTTCATTTGGATCACCCAACTTGAAGGACATGACGAACACCCTGGGCAAAGTTGCTAGCGTATTTTCTACGGCACCAATGATAATAGAAATTCTAATCAGCCAAACCAATATGAAGGATAACTCCGCTGTTTCGTAAAGGGAATATCTGGATGCAAAATCACACAAAACGAGCAAGGATAAGTACGGGCTAACGCAAGCTATGAAAGTAGTGTACAAGAGGCGGACTTTTGTTCAAAATTCCCGGCTCTCGCCAATATCACACACATCGAAAACACCAGTTTCAGCAAGATCATGTTTTTTCAACGCCTCCTTGAGCTTCTTGGGAGGCTCAAGCACATCCTCCTCGGTAAGCACCCAAGTGCCCCAGTGCATGCCCAATGCATTTTTGCACTTGGTATCTTTGAAAATGTGAACAGCATCATGAGGGTCAGAATGTGCGGCACTGAAAATATGACGAGGTGCGTAGGCCCCAATGGGGATCAAGCCGAGATCAAATGGTCCCCGGAACTCACCTATCTGCTTGAAGGCAGGGCAAATAGGGAAATTGTACTTGGGGTCCCAATCATCCTCCCCTTCCGGTAGCTCGTCCACTGCCCTGTAGCCGGAATCACTAGATTGAGGTCAGCAAAGCAACATTCTGATAGCGTGGATGGTTTGGGGGAGATCATACCCAGCAAAATACACCTTGCTACCGCCAGATTCAATGGCCCAGGAGGCCCATAGTGTCTTGTACTTATCGAAAGGACTGCGGGCAGTGATATGCTGACAAGGCAGACAACTGATGCGTGCCTTGATATCTGCTGTGGCGGAAGCTTCGCCTACTTGTTCAACCTGGGGATTCTTTCTCTCCTCGGGTGACATTGCAATATCGCGCTCATCCCACCAATCCAATTCGGTTACATTTTGGATGCCCGAGCTGTGGAACCAAGACTTGTTGCCAAGTGGTGCAAAGAAGTGGCAATTGGGGTGCCTTTTCGCGATTTCCGAGATAGTTGGGTATGACAGATGGTCGTAGTGGTTGTGGGAGATGACCACAGCATCGATGACAGGGATATCCTTGATCTGGCATGGAGGCTCAGTGTAGCGCTTCGGACCTAGGTGATATGGTCCGCAGCATGGCCCACATCGCGCTTCGAATACTGGGTCAAACAGTACTCGGAGACCGCTCGGGAACTCCACATAATAGCATGCATGGCCAAGCCACGTTGAACGCAGCTTGGGGGTGTCTCGGCTGGGGAGAAATTCTGGCTTGCGAACGGTGACAGTTGGAGGGGTGGTATCGGGATTATTTCCTTTGCCGTTGAATCGACGAGTACTATTGTTCCACGTGTCAGAGACTGGCTTCCTGCGATAATCGATGGGTATACCTACATCATCATTTGCATGATATCTTTTGAAGTCAGATCGCGAAAAGATCTGCCATACAGAGTTGCTGGTTAGTATATACGAATGATTGCAGTCACGGAGCGTCACTTACTCCCACGGGTTCCTGAATCCATTCTGTGCATGGTGACTTTTCTTCAAAACATCTTCCGGGCTAGGTCTGGCCGGGGAGTTCGCTACAGTCAGCGCATATAGCACTGCAGTAGTGGGTGTTGTGCTCATGTTGCGGATTGCCGGTTGAACAGTTCGTCGATACCAAGCCCGCCAAAGGAGCGGATAACGGAGAAGAGGTCGCATCGAAGGCCAAGGCGTTAGAAAATAACGCCACACAGAATACGCTGGCGCCTTAAGGACAGGAATGCGAGAAGCAGGAAGTTACTTTAATACCGATAACTCCGACATGGGGCCTTCGCGCGTTGGGAACGCCGATACCACCGGAGTTCCAGCACATCCGTCCCCATCTTGAATACTTGTAGACCACTCAAGGTACATTCAAACCTAGGAAGGTTGTAGTTCACTTTCTCATCGTTGGTCTCCCATGGATTGCCCTGTGAAACGCCCGTGGGTACCTCAAATGCTCGGCCCGTTGTAACTCCGATATCTGTGCTTATCGATCTTCTCAACATTCGCGATCTTCACGACACTGTTGATTTGGTATGGAGCCAAATGCGGTCCCTAGCGCTGCGCCGTCTGCGGGCGATCTGATTCTGCAGCAGAAAACACAGGCGCTACAGTCGGCGCAAAACGGCGACGGAAGTCTCCTCTCGCAGCTAACGAGCAATCCCTTGTTTACCGCGGTATGAGCCGTGCCAGTGTTTCGATCCCAGATGATGTGCTAATATGGTTCTCTGCTAGGGATTTGGCCTTGCAGGTCTCGGAGCAGGATTGACACTAGCACAGAAAGGTGTTCGACATGGCGCCGCTCTTCTCCGCCGGCGGATGCTGGTGGACGTCGAGATCAGCATCAAAGATGACTCGTATCCGTGGTTCCTACACTGGATGACTCTGTACCAACAATCACAACTCAATGCAAGCAAAGCCGCTGCAAATACCTCTACCTACATGGACCGATTCCTCCAAAAACTCACGCCCGGCATGCGCCATCTCTCCATCCAAACGCAGAAGGTCGAACATTCGAACGGAGCA